TATTCTCATCATCTTGTTTTTTTGCGACAGTATATAAATTTATTGTGAAATAAAGTTTGAAATAAGACATCCAAAAATATCGATATATCAATATTATTGAAGTTGTATAACAAATATTATATTGATCATTTTTCAAAACCTAAAATATCGTTGATACGATATTATAAAAATATTCGACAACTCTAATATATTAGATATTCTTTTTTATATAATTTTTTTTTTTTTAATATTATTTTTAATTATTTTTCATATATTTATATTGTGTTACATTAGATTTTAAGTACAATTTTATTATATAGTCACTTCATATGATATTTCTATTATTACTTCCTTTAGGGTATTCACAATTCGTAGTATTTCGAGTAATTTTTCCAAACTTTTTTTTGGCTTTTTATTCTGCTGCATTCACATTTTTTGGCTGCACATAATTTAGCCAATTAAGCGCATTTATACATATACACATGCATACCAATGCAATGTATGAATGTGCAAATATTAACAACGCTTTGTGAGCGCTTTTTATGCACATTACGTATACGCCGCATAGACACGCTGAATTTCCAGCGACCGCGCCCCATTTTATCAAAGGCAACCAAATCAAAGGGCACGCACATTTTTGCGTCATAAAATCAATAAATAAATTTCGTAATGCATAAGAGAATATTAATGATGCTCTGGGGCGGCCAGACGCCTGCCCTGAATTTATTCCGGCTGTTGCTAGCTGCTCCGCCTGGAGGCCATCATGTGGCTCTGGCGACAACATAGATATAGACATGGCGTTTTAAGCGAAGGCGTATTTATGGGTCAGTCGAATTTTTGTGTTTTTTGTGTTTTTGGCATTCTCTTTTGCATTAACAGCATCTCTGTCATCATTTATCATCGTTTGCGTGCATACGTTGGCCTTCAAGTGGATCTGGGCCAGAGCGTTTCGCAGATACGTGTCTGTACTTAACGGCTAAAGTATATAGCCTTCCGATAAAGCTGTGGCGCATGCAACAATGTCGATTCATCTTCCGCATCCATCGCATGGCAATTAAATATATGTATATGGACAACACATTCTTGAACAACAACTGATTGTTTTTATTGATTATGTCACAGGCAAAAAATATATATATTGGCATACGTCGGATGTCCTTGAGAAGCTCACAGACTCCCTTATTTCATTTAATAATAATTTTGCCCATATTCGAATGATATTTGATTATTTTGTAAACCTTGTTTGTATTCGATTCAATTGTTTGTTATTCTGAATGGCCTTTGTTGCCAGCCACAAGCCGCTGGCCAGGCAAGCGCACTGGCCAATATTACAATTCCTTAATTATATAAGCTCACATCAAATGGAAGCTATACAAGCTCGCACACCATAGAAATACTATTTGCATGCAGACTAAATTGATGGGCCTCCTTTTGTGCTCGCATTGCCCCAGTAGTGCAGATAAGCATCATGTTTTGCATTTTGCGGTAAGCCGGAACACAAACTGAACGCAGAGTAGTGCCCTGGTACATCATTATCGAATCGTACGCTATGGGGTTTTTGTTACATTTTATGAGCCCTTTGGTGTATGAGCGAGCACTCCTATCGCAGCTCATTTGCATCCATTCAACGAATTTTACAAACCATTGCGCCATTGATGTTCTGCCCCTAAGTGGGTTTTCAAAATCAACTTCAAATTGGCAACCGACATGCGCCCGGTTTGTATGCCAAACAACTTTAGTTCGTATAGCCGCATCTATTAACAAATTAAGTGGAGTCTCGCTGTCTGTGTGTGCGTGTGTATCTATATGTATATGTATATGTATTTGTTTGTCCTCGTACAAACTGTGTCTGTGTATTTGTGTATTTGTATTAGCAGTTGTGCTTGAATTTGTGTGTGTGTGTGCTTTTGTGTTTGTGTTTGTGCTCGTGTTCGTGTTTGAGTTCACATGCAAATGAGAAACTACAGTTCACATAATGTCGACGAAATTTAGCACATAACTCGATGATTCTCGTTTGGGTAATTGTGCATCGAGTCCGCATTACACTCTTAACTGTCGCAAAATACGCTCCACTCTACGAATGTGCACTCGCTCTGCTCGTCCTCGGTGAGTGTGTCACACACATTATTAGTTTTCCAAAAATTTGATATGTCAATCAATATATTCGCTGATTGAACCCATTGTCCGGATGTCACAGGGAAAAGGCTTCAATGTCATTCAGAACATTTTTGATTAATGTTCGCGTCGGGCGTGTATCGAGTGCATGAATATGAGGAATTATTATTAACATATCTGATCGGGTGAATCCATGCTTAAATGATTGGTTATTGAGTTTTTGTTACAACAAAAATATAAATAAGTCATCGTTTTTATTGATTCAATAATCTGATATGCAATTGTTGGGTGATTAACTATGTTTAGTCCAATATTAAATATAAAAATGAAATATAAATAATTATTAAATTTAAATAATAATTTAATAATATAATAATAATAATATGATGATGAGAGTATAAATAAAAATTTAATAATAAAATAATAATAATAATATGAATAATAATATAATAATGTTTCGCAGCATACATATCAAAAATTATATTAAACAATTTAACAATATCTAGTCCTATATTAATATGATTATTATTTAACTGCTTACATATAAAAAAAAATACAATAAAATTCCCTCGTTTATTTAAAAAATGTTTAGTCCTATATTAGAAGTATCATAATTTAATAATATTCCAATTTATATAAATATATATATTGAAGAAAATTATAAAAAAAAATAAAAAATATATATATATATATTTATATTTTAAATTAAAATAAATATTGTTATTTTTTTTCCATATAAAAACATTAACAATGTTTAGTCCAATATTAATATGATATAAATTTAATCATATTCTCACAGCACATATCTAAGAAAATTTAATTGAATTCCCTCATTCATTTCCATTAAAAATATTAGCAATACATGAGACTCATAAATTTAATAATATTCCAGCAGCTTATATTTAACAAAATTCAATTAAAGTCCTTCATTTATTTCCATATAAATCATTATATTAATATGATTATAATTTAATAATATTCAAATTGCTTATATTTAACAAAATTAAAAGGAATTTCCTCAAGCATTTCTATGAAAAAATAGCAATAAAAAAATCATGTCTAGTCCAATTTAAATATGATAATAATTTCATAATATTCGCATTGCTTATATTTACAAATATTAAATTAAATTTCTTCATTTTTTCCATAAAAATCATTAAAAATGTCTTGTCCAATTTAATGATAATGATAATGATAATAACTTAATAATATTCGAATTGCTTACACATATTTACAATTATTAAATGGAATTTCCTCATTTATTTCCATAAAAAAAAATGGCCAAACGTAATATTAATATAATCATAATTTAATATTCCTATTGCGTAAATTAAATTGAATTTCCTCATGTATTTCCATAAAAAATATCTCGCCTATTCGAGAAAAAAATAGAGACATGCTCTCCATGCATTTCATATCTGCTCAAGTACTCAAGTACTATTCGCCATCAATATGCAAAATTGTCAGCAGAATAAAATTCTTTGCATACTTCACCTGCTATTCGAGCATACTTGACTTGTCTTAAATTGCCCTTTCGGCAATGGCATGTCATTTTATTTTTACTTTTCCTTCTTTTTTTTTTTTTTGCATGCATACTCATGTTTCCCTTTGCATTCGCATTAAAGTTTTGCCCAGCCCAAAAGTGGGCGATTCTCAATTTTACGGCCTGCGAGTCGAAGCTGTCAAAGCTAGAGAGAGCCGTCCCAAATTAGACACGCACCTATTCAACTCACTTCAAAGTCTTGATAAAGTTCGGGGCTAAAGCCAGAGCCAGAGCCAAAGCCAAAGCCAAAAAAAAAGAGAGAGAGAGAGAACTATCGACACTGGCGTAATTTGTGTGTGAGTGTGTGTGAAAATTTTTTGTGAATTGAATTCTGTTGCAAAGTTTGGAGCTAAGCGAATTGAAGCTAATTTGAAAAAGGAAGAGCCGACTGAGTCGACCTTTTTGCAGCTCATGGCATTAGAGTGCTAGCTTTTGTGGTCAAATTGAGATATAGGTGCCACGCACCCACATCAAAATCCGACATTTTCCGGCCAAGTGGGACACGGATCATGCACATTGGCCGGCCAAGAAGTAATGCGATTACCGTAATGCAAACCAATATTATGTAGTTTCACTCACACACACACATACACTTATATGTATATAGATTTTTATAAACATATTTAAGTATACATTTGCCTTCTTTTATTTCGTATAGTTGGCTAATCAAAGGCGATTAGTGAAGCAATTAATTTACTTGCATTAATTAAAGGCGCAGGCGACCCTTTTTTGATAGAGAGCGCGACCCAGGCAGCAATTAGATGCTCTAAGCCAGGCCAAGCCAGGCCTAACAACAACAAGAGCAACATCCTGCTGTCATACTCTAGTCTAATTTTATGCAACATCTTTCTCTTGCCAGCAGCCAAAAGTTTAAATTGAAGTGCTCAGCTCTGCTCTGGCTGCTGTCCGTTTGGCGGGAATGCACAAAGTTTTTAAATTACCCGCGCACCTCTCTAAATGGTTTTGAATGCCAACCATTTTTGCTCTTTGTACTCGCAGTCCAATCCAATTTTCATTTCATTCTTGGCCCAAACTTGACGCCGACTGTTCAAAAGAAAACTCCAAGCGAGAAGAATAAACAAGCCACACACACAACAGCACAATGATAAGGCACCCGAAACTGAATCACTAAAACAGAGGCATTCGACTCTGGCTCGAGGTCAACAGTTGGCAATGAACTGAATTACCTGCCTACCTTTTGAGAGACTTCTCTGAAAGAAAAGAAAATAATAATTATTCTATAGAAACAGAATTCGGAGAGCAAAGGGATTCGTCTGAAGCAATCTATTCCAAGTCCGTCAAGTCAGCCATGGGACGTGCTTCAGTTTGATAGGAACTCTCGTTAGTTCTTCAAAAATATTTCATATGCTAAGATATATTTTTAAGATATGCTAATTAAATTCAACTGAAGCCGTCAACATGAATAAGGACAAGATTTCACATAGACAGATGCAGCAGGAGACTGAGAGAAGACTGGAACAGAAATTGCAAGAAGCCAAGGAAACCGAGAGCAAAAACTCCGAGTACCGTACAGCCGTGCGCCTTTTATCCCGCGTGCCAGGCAACTGTCCGGTGAGCAAATGCCGTGAGATTGTATTCCCATCGAACCTGATGATGCACATGCTGCACAAGCACGTGAACGCCTTTGGCAGCACCAACTCGGAGATCTATGAGCACAAGCCGCTGATAATGTGCTTCGATCCCAACAACTTCACCGAGTTTGGTGTCAACCACTGCTTCGCCACACTGATGTACGGCGGAAAGAAGGGCCGCATCGCGACGCGGCCGGGCCTCACCTATCTGAGCAATCCGAACTCGGCGCTCATTAACGATCACCATCGGTTCGACAACTTTCTGCCCATAATGCTGATCGTCTGCCGCACCACCTGGTATGCCCAGCTGAAGGACAAGCACTTGGAGGCCCAGCTGGTGTCGATAAATGCCAGGAAGGCCAGCATCTACGTCTTTTGGCTGGTGGCGCCCAAAACGACTCGCAAACTCTACTACACCCTGACCGTCTACGATCGTTACTACTTGAATTCGCGCAGTGTTGTTCGCGTGGTGCGCGACTACACTCAATCACAGAATCCCAGCGAGTTTCTGCCGAACGAGGACAACTACCTGCTGCTGCGTGACTCGGAGGTCAAGAGCTTCATGAGCATGTCCCACGGGGAGGCGACTCCGCAGCTCCGCCAGGGCATACCCATTGAGCTCATCATCTACGAGAACCCGAACAATCCCCCAATACGCCACAGCAGCCAGAGGGAACTGCACGCAGCACTCAAGCAGGCGCAGGACGTCTACATCATGGACAGTGTGCCACGCCTAAGAGGATCTACGAGTCGCGTCACCCCAGCGAAAACCAAGAAGACGCGTGCCAAAAAGTCACGCACTAAGCCAAGCACCTCAGTGAGCGAGTGTCCCATTAGCCTCCAGTCAATATTTAAGCTCTAGCTCTCCACCTGCTGCCCAATCGTGTATCGTGTAAATTGAATCTATGCTATCTTTGAATCGTATCTTCCAGTGCATATTTCCCAAATTCCAAACAAAATGTCCTACAAAAACAGTTCGAATAAACGTGTATCCTTCAGACTCAAAAGCCATTCCATCGTCTTGACTGCGACGAGCCGCTTATAATTAATTACGGTCATTAGCTGACTTTGCAGGCGCCGGTTGTATCTCCATATCTCAGCATCTAATATTCCCCGTTGAACATCAATAATCGCCTGCGGGGGTGGGGCGGCTTCTAATCGCCATACAAGTTAATGGGCGTATCGCGCATGAGGCATGCAACAGGCTGTGGCCAACTAATGCCGCCATTTACTCCATTTATTCGGCTCTTATTTAATTTTCATTACAAATTTGAGGGCGCACGTGATGTGCATGCCGTGGTGCCATGCCCGGGCCCTTTCCGCTTCCATTGCCACTAGATGACCAACAGATAATGTCCTGCTCCTGCTCATCTCATGCCACCAACTATTCGCATTTGTATGCGCCATTAGCACACGAAATACAATACAAAAATTAGTCGAAGCTCAGCCAGGCAGAGAGAGAGAGAGAGAGAGTGACAGAGATAGACTGGAATACAATCAGGATATTATATTGCCCTACACAGTCGGCTTCTGTTGTTGGCCATTCTCCTGCTGGTCTCCATTTAATTAAGCACTTAATTATTTAATGCGCTGATTGTGCAATATTTCAAACGTTGCCTTCAACTCGTCTGCTTAATGACAACTCATCCAATTGCATTGGCTTTGCTCTGCGTGAGTGTGTGTGTGTGTGTGTGTGTGTCAAGTGTGTGTTGAGGTGTCATAATTACCACATGCAGCTAAAATTTAATCAAGCAGCCAGAGCTCCAACTCAGCCGGGTATTCGCAATTAATCAGCATTTTCCACTAGGCTGCATTGAGCTGCATTAGCGTATCAGGAATATTATTAGCCTTCCCCTTAATTGTTTCTAATTGTTAATACTCGCAGATTATTGCAATTTAAAATATGTTTATCTTTCGATTTTTCAAGCGGCTGCAGCACATGTCTTGGGCATTAGCTGCATGTGCGCCCAAGCTGCCAGCGGATTTAATTAAATTTTAATGGAGCTGCTCATTTTTCTAGACTGTGGCACTTCGTTACCATATGCTGGCATTAATTAAGCCCTATGCCGCCATTGGCTGACCATTCAGAGGCAGCTTGCTGGCTCTGACTTATACTATAGGTCAGTTGCATGCCTCGCCCTGCATGCCAAGGCTCATTCCCTGAGTTTTGGCAAAAGTTAATTAAGTAAAAGCGATAAGGCTGCCTATGCCACTACTCTGAGCATGTGAGCCAAATTATTTTAAAATCCAGTGAATGAGATTAGATTTCCACTTGGGAATGGCTTTAATTTGTTTGAGTAATGCTTGCATTGCTTTGATATTACATTAAATAAATATACAAAGATAGACATCTCTGAGCTCTCGAGCTCTGTATTGCTATTTAGCTCTTGCTCAAAATTATCTATGATTATCTATATTCATTGCTTTGATATTACATTAAATAAATATACAAAGATAGACATCTCTGAGCTCT